TTAACATGTCACAATAATGTCATGTTGAGAAAAGCTTACAGTTACAGGCTAATTAAATATTAAGTATTAGTATGTTATATTAAGTATAGTAATTTTTCAATTCTCATCCATTATAGCAAAGCTCAAGTTAAACTGGTCGTTTTGAAGTGTAATGACAACACCCGTCAATTGTTTCGAATTCGAGGCAATCGGAGCGCAGTTGTCACCGTGATGATTTGGCAAAATAGTTTTCAAACATGACAATGACATTTCGTCTATATTTCTGCTTATATACTCGATGGTATGTTCGTTCAAGAACAAAACTTAAGAAGACCACAGACATAATTCAATGTGAAGGAATCCAAACAGTGGCTTGCTTCGCATGGTACATAGCAGCTGGGACCGTGTTCACCTTAAATCTTGTTCATTAATCTTCACATACAATCACATAGAAGTGTTGTATATAATACTCTAATAGAATTGAAATCCTACCCTCATTCCGTGATCGTCTCTAACTTGGTCGACAGTGTCCTCATCTTTGGATTCCGTGTCCTCGAACTCTTGGAGCTTCTCTGTTAGATCTTTAGTCAACTGTTCCGAATTTGGCATTTGTATGTCATTGTCGCTTGCTGGGGAGCTTGGGGTCTAAAATAGTTGAAAACATATTTTGGCTCAGTTAGCTTATGTTAACTTATATCTCAGGGTAACGGGCGTCACTTTGAGACATAAGTAAACAAGTCCCATATGCCTGTATTTTCACCAGATATATCACGATTTTTTATTACCATGATGTTCAATTATTTTTTGTGTAATTACTCTACTAGTTTGTTATAATTATTATGGTTCCATAGCTCAGTTTGGAGAGCGTCAGCCACGATATGGTGAAGGCGCCGGTTCGAATCCAGCCGGATATAATACATTTTCTTTCTGTTCGATCTTTGCATTAATAATTAAGTTTTTATTCACAATATTTTTGTATACATAGTGAACATAGTGAACATACTGCACCTACATGTCGATGCGCTTTCTCACAAACCTGTATGGTCAAATCCTCCACACTTAGACTGGGTGTATTTAACTGCAGTATACTATCCAGTTGCAAAGCGCCGCTGAACGATAACTCTAGTTGATCGCGAGGCTCTGTTATTGGGCTGGGTATGAAGCGTGATGACATTGCACTCACGGCACCTAAAAGAAATTATTAATAATAATATTGTTACGGACGCGCATGGCCGGTCAGAGCAAACGAGAGTAGAATTACATTAATAATTCAGTGGCTCTGATTGGCCGGATGTCGTCCGCGGTGCATTGATAGGGCCGGTACGGTGTGGGAGACACATTCTTATTCGATTTTTATTATTCGACTTGTAAGTCAGATGGACACAGAAATAAGGTGGTCAAATAAGTTTCATGGAAATGATATCCACTTTCCTAGCCTTCAATAAACAAGAATTTAAGTTTGTATCTATTACAATACAAATAACAGCCATCCGATTAAAGTTTGTGTGAATTATTAATTATCGTTGAAAGTCCATAGTACCTCACGTCGAATTCAAATTTTTCCCGTACTAATACGGTCCATTTTGCTTGTGTCGAGCGGCAGGGGTTTATTTCAGAATTATTTTTTTTACAAACGAAATTAGAGCCATTTTAAAAATGTGCATCGTATGGTATACGTGTTCTATTTAGTTCACTTCATATAAAAAAAAATTGGTATGTGTAAAGTATGTATTGAATACTGCTGTTTTCTTGTAAAATTTCGAGGTAAGTTTGTGTTTTTTTTTCCTATTGTGAAAATTTTTAGGAACCGTGTTTTCACACTGTATACTAATCAGTGTATATCCTCAATTTCACTATATATTTTTTTGCAAAGCGATTGATTCAACACTTTCACTGTCATGCGAAATCAACCAAAGCTGTTTGAGGTTGTACCGGTAAGGTTCACCCTTTGACCGCCGTGGACGCTTTACAGCGTCAACGAAAATGTTCAATTAAAATTTATTAACACATTTTTCTCAACACGCCTGTCCATAACAATTACAGTGCCACTCAGAGCTTTAAATTGCAAAGATCTGAGGGGCACTACCACTGCGCCCGTCACCCTAAGACATAAGTTGACAAGTCCCACGTGTCAGCAATTTCACCAGCACCCTTACCCTTCAAAACCGGAGCACAGTAATGCTGACATTACTGTTTGGCGGCAGAAATAGGTAAGGTGGCAGTACTTCCCTGGACGAACTCTTTCACAAGGAGCTCTACTGCTACTAGATTTTAAGACATTTTAAGATATTCCTTGTGTTATTTGTATATTCTAGTTAAGTATGGATTCATAGTTGCTTTTTATGCTTAGTTATGTTCTTATTTGACGTAGGAGAATGGAGTTAATATAAGGTGGAAATTCAGAACATGTCACATCACTATAAGGGTAAACGTAACTAGTTTTTGTCAGTGGTAGTCAAATGGTTAAAAGTATTAGTGACGCTATGGTTGATGATAAACTTACTTATATTTCTCCTATGTCCCTTAGAAGCAACGTTGTCCAAACACACAATGCTTGGATGCGAATCCAATAAAGCCTTTCTGTAAAGACCAGTCGCTTGAGATAGTAGAATGGAAAGACATTCCATTACGGCATTTTGAATGTTATGCTCTGTTGTGTGCTCTATGTAATGGACACAAAGGTGATAGAGCTGCGAAATAGAAAACAATAATATTATTAACAAGATTAATGTTATAATAAATATCATTTACCATTCAAAATTGTTTTCAGAAAAAAAAACTATGGTTTTTTTCACACACACACTTTACCCATAGCACTAGGGAAGCCTGTGTCGCGGATGCCTTGGACACACACATACACAACTACAAATTACACTCAAACTCACGAGAGAAATAAATGTAGGCCATACAAATATTTCTCCCGACCCGGGAAGACAGTTTCCTCGTATCTTCTATGGTTTCGGATTTCCCCATACTGTATCATTTTAAAAAAACACTGTATATCATTTCGTATAACGGTAATATGCATTTAAAAATGTTTCCGGTTTTTTTACCTCTAAATAATCTTGCACGGTAAACATGTTGTTCTCTGTGAATTTGGAGAGATCGTTGATCTGGAATATGGATTTGATCACCCCAAACCATCCTAAAATGAGGGTGCTCTCTGTCGTTGGCGGCCATAGCTTTTCTGTAAACATAGTACCGTAATTAGCAGACTTTACACGGACACTCTGTCGCGCGTGATACAGCGATTTAGCGCACGTGTAAAGACGTTGGAAGAAAGATCTGTCCTGTGTTATTAGCCTTTACATTACACGGACGCTCTTTCCGTTGTAACCAAAACGAACACGAACAATCGCGCGCGAAAGAACGTTGGTTTAAAAAATTTCAAACAGGTAATCACGCACGATATAGATATGAGCGCCGATAATAGACCAACCGGCGACGAAAAAGTGTCGGCGGACAATGCGAATTTGTATAACGGCGTTTCATTTTACAAAAACCGTTATAGAAATACTTTTTCCAAGACAAAAACAAAATAATGTATTTCATCATTGACATACAATTACATGGACGTCGGGTCCGCGCTAAAAAGTGTCCGAACTTATAGGGCGTTAAAATCGTATACAGAGCGTCATTCACGCTGTAGTCTTCGTTTGTTCGACTGACAGCGACGCAAGCAAAATTAGACAGTACTGCGATGACATTACAATTTAAATTCAACGTTTTAGCTTTTTCATATTCCTTTACATGTCACTACGTTTAAATAGGTTGACTTTAGACATTTTTTTCGTGGTTTTAAAGAAAGAAAGAAAGAAAAACGTTTATTCGCACATTTAAGTCACTTTACATCCCTAAATTATAAACATAACATTAAATTGATAGCTATTTATTAAATAAATAATTGATAGCTATTTATTAAAAAATAATAAGAATGCAAAGTGACACAAAAGAGGAAAAGGAGACGACTCAGCAAAAAGTCTATCTCTGGCGAGAGAGACGCTGATTTTCAGTCGTTCCTGTTGCATCATCGACTGGATGTTGAGAGAGCGGTACATATTATTATGTTGTGTGTATCCTCGGTTGTGACATATATATTCTTAATTATTTTCAATACGAAAACCTTAGAACCTTAGTATTATATAACAATTAATATTTTAAATCTGTCAATAAGTATTTACTACTAAAGAAACACGGACCTACAACAGCGTAATCATGTAAATAGAAATATACAACTTTAAGCATTACATTGGTATGTTAGTGCACATAAATATAACAAGCTGGCTAGACTAAGAAACTTCCGACATCAGAGCATACGCTGCTTTTCCAATAACATAATTTTCAGTTGTTTTTGAATGCCGAGTTAGAGTTTTTGTATTAGACCCGTTCATTTATTTGTAAGTCAATGCATTTCATATTATAATAATCAAATGTTTATCAGTTCAATCAGGCGCTCTGATCGTATATAATCAAATCCGGCTATTATTAAAGTTAAAGTTAAAGTGTAAATGAAAAAAAAACTCGATAAGTAGTCCAACTGTCAAAATAAGAATTAAGAACGCAATAAACGCAGTTAGTAATCATTAGAACGTCGTAACATTCACAATCCAGGCAATTTTGGCAAATTTTGATCTTCTTTCACAATGTATTGATAAAACTATCGACAACAACTACATAGCTATTTAAAATTTTATGAAAACTGGCAACCCTACAAACGTTATTTTACTCCATCTTCAAAAAAGACAGACTATACTTTACTATTATGTCCATACATTTTTCTGCAAACATAGTAAACTACAAAAGGTTGGTGCTAATCGAGTCTAAAGCCGCGTCCACACTAGCGAGCTGTAACTGTAACCATTGCATGTTAAGTAACAAAAAGTTATAGTGTGTACGTGGTTCGCGAGCTTGCCGCGAGCGGTACACGTGTGAATCGCAGTGAGCCGTCTAATTAAAGACTGTTTCAAGCGTACACACTAGAACCTCGTTACTGTATCTGCACGTTACAGTTACAGCTAATGAGTACCCGGCTTTACGGAACTTGACGATGGCGTTGTTAACCAATTTCATTCTAATGTATAATTTCACACTAATATTTTTTTCAATTGATTGCGTAACACAATTAAAACTATATCTTAATATATAAGATATAACGTAAATTCACGGTTAACGGTTACGCAGTAATATTATATAATATGTATGTTTTTCTCGAAAACACGTGACTTGTACATGTTTTGGTATCATAAGCAGACTGTAACAATACTCAACTAATCAATGAAAACTTCATCTTAACTGTTTAGATATAAAAAACCAAAAATATGTAAGCAGCGATAACAACTTTACAATAACAACGTCTATTTACTGGTATACCTCTAAAAGTTAAAGTTAGTTGAGTTCGGTTTGTTGCGCTGGATACGGACCAGCGCAGCAAACCGAACTCAACCGCGGAACGAACCAACGGAGTTTACGAATTTTTCTATGTGCTTGTTGCAGATACTTGTTTTTTAACAATTTTTTGCTGTAGCACCATCTGTGAGAAAACTATTGTTTCGGTTTAAGTTTTATCGATAATATTCAATTTATAAGAATAAAATAGAAAACGTTTATTTGATCTTTAATAAAATTAGGTACAATGTATTCAACCTGCAAACAGATGTGCAAATATTAATTGAATTAAACATTTTGTCCTTTAAAATTAATTGCATTTCAAATTAATATAAATTAGTAATGAAAATTCCAAATGTTCTTTACTACTATACAAGCAATGTGTCATAAAGCCATTTTGGCAATTGTGATTTAAACGTAGGTTCGCGTAGAAGTTTAAATTCATTTGGTAAACTATTGAAGATCCTTTGCACATATTGAAGCAGTTATTTTTATAAATTAATTTATGGTAATGAGGAAAAAAGGTTCATGATTTTAGCTCTGGTTAATAAAGTGACGCTTACCTAAAACTTTTCCCAAGATATTTCCAAGTAGAAGTTCTCTATGCGAAACTATATGCGCCACACAGTTCGCAACGCCTCGCCTTACCGCCGGCTCCGTTGAATCCACGTGACCTAATAACGCCTTTAACAAATCTGTAATAGTAATTTACATCACACTATTAATTGCAATATTTATTTTTACTGAATAAGTTATTATTGTTGATACAAAGATCGTTAATAAAAAGAAAAGTGGTTCGATTCGACTGGACACGAACAACCGTTTGTTGCCGCAACGTGGCTTCCGCTCTTACCAACTATGTTAAGGTTCGAGCCAGCAGATCTTACGAATTCCTCTATGTGCCCGAACTCATAATATTAACAAATCAATATTATGTTCATACTTATATTTCTATGATGGTTCCCTTAAGCGAAGATTTTTCTTGGCGCCATAAGTTTTTTTTATTATAAGCTCCAGTTTGACATTGTGCTCCAGGCTCTTATTACACACTCGAATCTGGTAAAGTAAGCTGTATTGTGGTGGGTCAAGCTGTAACTTGTGAAATCGCTCACAAGTGTCTCCATAAAACCACCATAGTGGGTATCTATGATTATTCTTTTTAATTCTTTGATTAATTCGAGGATATAATTATAATATAATTATAAATTCAAAGTCTCAATACTCAGTACTTTGTTGCTTTTCCATAATGTTAACCAGCAACTGAGAGGGAGGCATTTTTTTCTTAAATATTAATTGTGAAATTACTTGAAAAAATTAGGAATAGCAATTGAGAAATTATTGTTGAAGTAATAACATATTTTATAATATATTATTATCAAGTATATAGGTATTTAATTATGTAGATATAAGTAATTTAAATATTATCATGTACATGTTCATGTATAATATATATATATACTGTTTTGTAAATAAATTCTTTAAATCAAGTTTGTATACAAAACTTCAATCAATTTTATAGACTTGTTCATCCCGTCACTTGATATTGTAAAAAATAAAAATTCTGTGCAGACGAATAATAGTTGTTCAGTAAAAATCGATTCAAGTAGAGTTTTTTAACCTTAACTTGAATGTTCAACGAGTTCGAGAGACTCGATCCTAATTGACCGTGCTCCAATAACTCGCATTCGAGTCGGCTCTGGACTCGTGAGTATTTAGGTCATGGGCTGTGCAAAATTGAGTCGAGTTTATAAATGTACACACCAGGACTCGAGTTTTTAACAACACTAGCTTAAAGTGCACAGTGAACATGATGAAACGACTCAAAAATATTTTTAAAAATAATAATAATAATAACGCATACACTCAACATAGCCCCGCACTGGGAAAACCCTGTGTCGCGGGTGCCATGGACACACACATAGATAACCACAAATTACACCCAAACTCACGTGAGAAATAAATGTAGGCCATACAAATATTTCTCCTGGCCTGGGAATCGAACCTGGGACCTCAGTGCGGCATGGTAACCATTCGGCCACAGAGACAGTTTCAAAAATATGGTCCAACCACGTATTACAGTAAAAAAGATCCCTAAAACTTACCCGAAATCTCCTCATCAGTAGTATACTCGGCTAAAGCAACCAACAACCTTGGCAGATTGTTCTCCAGTGTCTCAACAATAACTTGCAGTTCATTGGTCTGCAGTACAATCTGACTTAATTTAGGAAATAACGTTTGTGCTTGGTTGCGAATCTTGCCAACGCCAGGTCGAAGCCAGCATTCGCCCAGGCATATACGGTTTAAAGCTGCACGGATCCATCTGAATAAAAATAAATGGATATTAGCAACAGTTTCAAAAAGTAAATAATAATGAACTTACTCCAAATTTGAACTTTTGCGCAAATAAACATATGTAAATAACCAATTCAATTGCTGAATGTTCCGAAATATGTTGCTGACATAACCGACTCTGCCAAGTTAATTTATATTTTCTTGAAAACTATTGCTAGCCATTCTTATCAAAAGGTCTGAAGGGCACAGTAGGCTATAAATGTAGGCATGATCGCGATCCGTAAGTTAGTTCTTTTTTGGAAGTTTTTTCTTCATGGAATTGAAAACTAGTTTCTCATTGTTTGCTAAATATAATTAATTTCGTCAGAATATTTTGTGTTATTTTTCAACAAATTATCTTAACGTAGCTTAATTAGTATTACAATTCACTGCAATATAATTTGTTTGTCAAAACCTTTTCCTAAAAGAAACTTAGGTTCGTGTTTAATAAATTAAGTCTAAGACAAATGAAAGTGACTACTCGCGCAAATGAACTATCGCGCATTTAAGCTTTCGCGCAACCGTCTTCGCACTACCGACACTCGCATATTCGGCGTCCTTAATAGACAAATCACATTTGAAACGGTCACACTAATTAAACTCGGCTCATTCGTAAGGCCGAATCCCCTTAATTAAAGTATTACCTACCTAGCATTCTTAGTGTGATCAATCTGGTTCTGCAATATAATATTGGTCTTATAGGAGTGGAAGGCAAATCCACCAACAACAGCTCTGTTGAGTGCCTCATCACCTAATAGGCGAACTTCAGCCTGAAACAAGTCAAATAAATTGTCAATTCTTTCTATTTTTTAGGGTTGATGAAAGACAAATTCAAAATATAAAAAGTCCCACTGCTCTCCTCTAAGAAAGAGTTTAGATCATAGTTTGCCATGCTGGCACAATATGAGCCGGAAACTTCACACATATTCCAAGTTGTGAGCATTCTTCAAAATGCAGGTTTTATTGCAACATTTGTCTTCACCATAAAAGACAAGTAGACAAGATGAGATGTATTGGTTGGACTGAACAAAAGGGGAACTATGACAAAAGGACTTTGAATTTACTTATAAATTGTTTTAAATACTTATCATTATCATAATTTTTTCAATACAACCAATAGTTATTGAGAAAAAAATTTGATAAATTTTCATTAACTCCCTATCAATTGGCCAATATATTTCTACTAAATGTTCACAAATATCTGTAACTTATAATCAGTGATCGGAATTGAGGGAATAAATGTACCTAAAATATAAACTTTCTCTTAGTATGGAATGGACATGCCCATTTTGTCATCAATGCATAT